TTGATAATTTCTAGAAGACTTAATTTATCTAATCATATTCTTATTTCATTAACAAAAAATACATTTCCGAGTACAAAATATTAAGTTTTTCTTACTCGGAAGAAAATTCCTCCAACTATTCAATTTTCGATTCTTCAAATTGAAAAATTCATCTTTCATTTTCCATGATAATAGTTTTCATATGAATATATATAACACTACTTTTCTGTATTTCACTTAAACATATCGAGTTTTCTCATGAAGAATAAACTAAACATTAGCTACTGACATAATAACTCTTTCAGAACAAACATTGAAATAGCATGTAATGTACTATTCAATAAATAAAACTGAGCGTTTACTATCTTACCTTCAATTTACACTCTCTAGTTAATTAATTCAATAATTAAAAAATTGTAAAATTTTTTTCGAGTTTTACTTGTATAGAATGTACTGCTTACATTTAGTTAAGACATAAGAAAGAAAAACATGCTTTTGATATTCATTGATAACATTAAAAGATGATATGAGACTTCTTTGTATTTCATTGAGGTATCTTCTGATTGATGTTTAGTCTATTGTGGGACGTTGAAAAAGAATACTCATCATCGTTGATAAGGTGTGTCTTTGAATGTCTTTTTATTTTCTTCATTATAAGAAGCGTCTGTTAACAAGAAAATTGCTGTTGAATCAAATCAGCTTAGTTTGATTCTACTTGAAATATTCTTCAAGGATATTTTAAATTGCATATAACTCGTACGAATATTATCAATTGTCTGTGTTCTTAATTTTTCTATGCATTTTATGATTATGTAAAGTGAAATCTTTTTGAAGAGATTCTTTCAGAACAAACAAAAATTCGTAATTGAATTTCTTATTTTGATTCCAACGTGTTTAAAATACATTGAATATATTCGGTGGTTCAGAAAAAATGAATCATTTTGTATTTTTAAATTTTCTCTATATAATCTCAACCATTTTTCTTATAGTTTTCATTAAATAGATCATGTAAAAACCTGTGCAAGATTATCTAACGACATTTGATTCCAATTGTAACAATAAATAATTGAACAAAATGTATAGTAAAGATTGAATATGTCTAATTTCTTTTAAATATTCTTGTTTCGAAAATTGTTTAAGTCTTCAATTATGTGCTATCTTACCTAAGATAAATTTAAATATTGTAACTGTCTATCTTATGTATTAAAATCTATTATATTTACGAAATAGCTAAAAATACTTGGTAATCATCATGTGAAATGGGTTTTGAATAATTTTATCCTCAATTTTACTCATTAGAACACATTTCCGCAACATAGCTATCGGCAATATTCTAAGGTGATACTTGCATTATCTCTCTTTTTATCGAGTATGTACGCGAACAGCGAATAACAAGAATGAACACTAAACCTAATATTACTGATATAGATTATCGAAATCCATTGATCTTAATATTGATGATATGTATTTCGACAAACTTTCTTTTTGAAATGTTCGTTGTGATAATGAGATACATAATCCAATTCTTTGAACAATCGCATCTTTAAAAATCACTCGAAGTTGTCCGTTTAAGAATTGAAGGTTTTTAAAAGTTTATTGACAAAATATTATTCCTTGTTATGTTTTGTATTGCAAAAGAATATAAATCAATGTTGAACTTTGTCAATAAATCATGTAATATACATTTAGAATTAATTCTTATCTTCAAGAACAATTCTTTCTTTCTATTCAATTGGTTAAAATAATATATAATATATATTCGAATATTTTTAAAAGAACAACAATATCATTAAATTTTGTTTATTTATTATTATGAAAAAATGAGAATAAAACAAACTAGAATCATATTTATATTGCTTTTAAAAGAATTAATGAACCGGTATAATCTTCTATTTTTGATTTTCTACTAAAAATGAAAAACAAACAAAAGAAATTGATTATATATATTTATCATTGATTATTAATAAGGCTTCATCTTTATTACTTTGGTTGAAGTTTCACTGATATACTGAAGATCAACGCGTCGAGTGTATTTCTCTTCATCAACATTTTTTATCCATAATGTTATAGCAAAACGAAGATCATTTAAATGAAAATTCTTTTTACATGTATCGGAATTTTTCTATTTTTCTTGTATCAACTATTCCATCTAATAAAACAATATATTTAAATAAAAACTGAGTTAAAAATTTGCTCCACATACTCGAATATAATGAATCGAAAGGTTGTATTGGATTTCAAAACAGTTCAGAAATACAATCATCAGAAAATCTTCCGCTTACATATCTAATATGAGAATGTTGCAATACGTGTTTTGACAATAATATAATTTCTAAATCTCATCTTTTTAATAATTCCCTGTCTCGAAGATTTACAACAATCAGACGGAGACTAAAATTCAGTATTACAGAAAAAGAAATATGAAATATTTTTAAAACATATCCCATATTTAGTATTCTGTTAATCTCTGTCAATTTTTCATAATCTTTATCATCTCTAAGATGTATAAACATTGGATTAGATAAAGAGTAATCTCCATCCTTTTTTGGGCTTTTAAAATTTAAAATATGGATGAATATAAATGTATCCACTAATAAACATTGTTACAATGCAAATTTCTACTTTAACACGATAAAGATCAACAGGATCTTGACCAAATACAAGCGCTTCCAGAATCGAAAGTAGATATTCCAATAAATATTTTTTGTTATTTAAATAACAAACCAATAATGTGAGTCAATGATTATTATTTCGATTAGCAAAATAAGTAGGACGTTTCCGTACGGCTTTCGTCATACCGTTACGTCTATATTCATGCCTCGGCAGATAGCAACCTTAAATAACGACTATGAAATTGTTTCGCAGGTTGAATTTTGAATCTTATTGAAAAAGAATCTGTTTGAAAAGGCTCTTGAATGTTGTTCGGTGAATTATTGTTCTTATCTCAGAAGATACAATATATCTTGGTAAATATTTTGAAAATAAATAATGACCAACTAACCTAATACATATATTCTATCAATTGACGAAATTAAATGGGGATGTGTCGACAATTGAATATTGACTATAAAAAAAACGAAATTGAATATATTTAAGAGTAATTTTATTTAATCGTTTTAACATACTTAAAAATAAAAATCTCCTATATGTAATTACTTCTTATAGTCAAGACTATATCATTGAATGAAAATGTTTAAGGTTTTTTAATGCTATAATTTTGATGTAAAATTCATGATGTTTACGAATGACAATTTTGAAAAGAATCGATAACTTTGAAAAACATGCATGTTTTTGTCCTATTCATCATAAGAAATTTCATTTTTATTTTATTCCATAGGGATAAATCCTTATGTGTTCCATTGAAACTTCGCTAATAGTTTTCACTGTATCATGATAACACAGAAACGTTTCCAATACGATTCTTTAATTCACAAAGTTCATTCAAATGATAAACATATTTAGGTTGATCATAACTATAAATATCCACTTTACTATTTATTGATATAATGAAACAATAAATATATTTCCAAGATTTAATAGAAGTTATTTTTATTTCCTAGATCTCAATGATTAAAAGAATTCTTATTGATTATTTTTTTTTATCAATTCATTTTATAAGGCATGATGATAAAAAAAGGACGTTTTACTTTTCTGAAGACATTGTCATTGTTATATAAAGTCATAAGTATTCCAATTCTCTACATCTATATCATATGAAACATGTCAAATGTCTATCAATTTTAAAAAAATAATTAGAATTTGATTTTCCACTGACAAATAGAGTCCGTCGGATTAGTTCCTGATCCGATGGGCTCTACTAACAAATAACAATGGTAATAAGAAAACTATTGTTTCAATAGTATAGATAAACATATTCGAATAATTAATATGTATATATATTGAATAAAATAAACTAAAGTTAACATTTCGATACTTTTCTTTATTGATTATCAAAGAAGAACAAAAATGAATAGAGAATAACAATAAAATCTTGATGTGAAATTGAGCTAATCGCTTAATATTGTAGAAAAAAAAATGTTGTTGTTAAACTTTTTTTCATCACCTGATATTTATTTTTATATGCATAAAGTTTATTTGTTACTGTACAATATGAAACTTCGTTAAGAATTATTCGTAATCGATTTATTATTTACATAAAGACCAAATAATATTAAAAAAAAAACCAAATATGCGATTTTTTGTTTCATAAACTAGAATTCAATGTTGTTTTTTTTTCCTTGATTTTTTGTACTTCATGCAAACGAAAGAAACCTTGGCCTGGTTTTTTTTGTTTTAATCTAAAGACACAAAATAAACGTATACTTTAGTTTTGTACTAAATAACTATTTGAAGAAGACAAGAGACAAAAAGTCTAGATAATGGTTATCGATACACAATATAAATTCTAAAATATTATTTATTAGTTTAAAGCAACATATTTCACATTGTATAAGAAGTAACCTTGTACCATAAATTTTACTATCTTATTGTCACAATCTTTTTTTTTTGAAAATAAATTGAAAAATTTCAAAAGATGTTCAGTTAAAATTTTACTTGGTATTCTTATATGTGTCTTATTAGGCTTTTAAGTTTAAACAAAACTAATTATTTTAATTTGATATTGAAATTTCGAATAGAAATCTAAAGTATAATTTATTTATTTCTTATTAATGTCCACATACTCATCATACAATGGAAAAAAAAACCGAACGTAAAACAAACGCTATATTATCATTATTCATAAGAGCAATAGAATACGAAAGAAATTTAAAAAGAGTTCTAAGTTTCATGATTCTCACGGGCTAAAAGCATACAAATAGAAAAACAAAAACTGTATTTAATATAGATACGCTGAAATATTAGTAAAAATAGTCTTGTTCTTTTTTTTTTTGTCCATAAAAACCGGTGTCTATAAAGTTCATAAAAAGAAATCATCATTAGATAAATTTTAAAGTCGAAAATAAAATTCAGTAATTTTTTAATCATAATTCATATCCATTTACATTTGTTGTTTCAATCATTTATGTAAGTGGATGTATATCGGAATCATCAGCTTGAAATGATGAATTTAATGAAAGTAATGATGGTGATGTTGTTAAATAAAAATTTCCATTTATTTGTGATTGACGAACAGAACTACCATATAATGATTGTCTTTCAATAACATATGTTCGTGATGAACTAAGTACAGGTAATACAGTTTTTTGAAAATTTCTTGTTGTTGAATCATCACGTTTTAATGTTGATGAACGAATTTGTTCATTTTCTGTTGTAAATTCATGATTTGGTTCATAAATATAAAGTCGTTCAAATGGAACTGTAAATTCATTATCAGATGGTTGAAGAATAATATTTTCTGTTCCAATATTAAGTACTAATGAATTAGTTGTTGATGGTATTTGTTGTTGTTGTGCATGACGAAGTTTTGATGGAGTACTTTTTTGAGATGTTAGTAAATTAAATTGAGGAGGTATACGTGATAATGTATCAGGTTGTAGAACAGTTGTTGATGGTAATAAAATTGAACTATCACTTCGTAATTCGTCAATATCATGTCGATCATAGATGTCTGGTTTTTCCTCATATGATGTATTAGTTTGTGGTTTAACATAATCAAAATTGTAATTATAATCAGGTGAAATTGGTTTATTATGATTTAAAAGTCTTTCTATAGAATTATTTATCGATGAATCATCTAATCCTGGTTTAAGTTGATAAATTTTTGGTGTTGATGATGGTGGTGAATCACTTCGTCGTAATATATAATTATCATCTTGATGTAATAGTATTCTATTAAGATTAGTTGAATCACGAGGTTTCGATGAAGATTTTGTTACTAAACCATTTGTTGATGTTCCAGATTCTCTTGTTGATGATGGTTCTACTTGAGCACCTCGATGTTGTGGAGATTTCATACCATCAAGACTAGTATCAGTTTCAATTGAAGTCCTTGGTGGTCGATCTTTTACTTGACGTGAACGATTTGATAATGGAAATAATGGTACAAGATGTTTATTGGTTGATGAATTTGTATCTTGTTGTTCTTCATTAGATACAGAACGATATTCAAATGGTGGTGAGAGTACACGAGGAATCATTGATTGTGGACTATGTTGTGGTGAAATAGGATATGGTGGACGATATGTTGGACTAGGATGACTTTTAGCTTGTGCTTGATATTGTTCATAATCTGAATAATTTTTTGGTCGTAGTGATATTGGCGAAGGTAATCGAGTTTCTCTTTGACTATCAACCGATGATGAACGCTGATAATTATTTCGTTGTTGTTGAGAGATTTTTCCGTTTTGTGGTGTTAAATTATTTAATAATGATTGTTGTATTAAGTCTGAAGTTTGAGTTGATGATGATTGTAATTGTGTCTCATTACCAAAATTAGATGTTTGAACAGGCTCAGACATTGTACCAACATTTCGTGTTGATTTTTGTTCTGATTGAGTACCATCATTTTTAAAAGTTTTAAATTCGGATTTGGTCGTAGTTGGATAATTACGATTTTGTTCTTGATATTTAGACATTATATTGGAATCTTCTTCGATGTCTTCGTTATAATCACGCGAATCACGTAAATATGTATCTGATGTACGACGAAAAGTTCGTGATTTATCAAATCGTATTCTTTCCGTTATTTCATCAGTTATATCAGTTGTTGATGCTGAATGTAGTCTCGGTGGTATAATACCAGTTGTATACGAATGTGGTCCGTTAGTAGTCCGAACAGGTATCTCGGTTGGCTTTTTACCTTTAAATGAATATATTAAAAAAAAATAGTTAGTCTTTCACAAATAGATATGTATCTTTTTTATTCTAATATTGATAAGGATGCTTTCTATTCAAACATGCCGTTATCGCCCACTCACATACATTCCAATGCCTGTCTTATCAAACGCATATCTTATTCTTTTTCTATTGACTGTTTGTCATAATAACTTAATGACCTTCATTTCTTTTCTATGTATTTTTTTTAAATATAACTCTTTACCTTCAACACTAGACAAAATAAAACAACATATCATAAAGCATAAAAAAGTAGTACAGTACAACATAGAAAGAAAGACAAAAAAAGAACTAAGAAACTAACAAAATTGTTAAAATAGAATTAATCACAAATAAATAAATAAAAAATAATAATAATAATGAATTAAACAGTATATTTTAATTAAGTTTTAATGTCTTGAATTTCCTTTGGATCGTGATCTATTTTCCTTTTCTAATGATATGTCGAGTTTGTATCAGCATCTGTGTCTTTTCTTCCGCACAGACGACTTAAAAAATTTTTTTTCTTTTTTTTCTTTTTACGATCAGTACGCGATTTTGATCCAGAAAATTTTCCTGATACTTGAGCATATGTTGATGGATCAAGAAGTGGATTGCTTGTTACCAATCTGTCAAGTGGGCGTTGATTATTATCAGAATGATAACTTTCACTATCGGTTGCTGGAGCACTACCATCATCGGTATCAGTAATAGTAGGTTCTTGAGGAAAGACAGGATTCGTACTTTGATAAGTATAACCATTGTTTTTATTACCATCGTCTATTGTGCTGTCATGATCTCTATTGTGTTTAGAATTGTCTGATGTTTGCTTTGTATTTTCAATAACTATCTCATTTTTTTTATTGTCATCAGTATCATATTGATATTTTTTTGCTGGTGATTGACTTGTACTTGATGAAGTTTCTTGATTTTGTATTAATGTATGATCAGTAGTTGTTCCAACATTAGTTTCTTGTTTAAATTGATCATCAGAATAATTATTCTTATGAGTAGAATGTTGAGAATTTATTATTGATGTAGGATTAGGATTAGATATTATATTTTGATTTGTAAGAGGTTTAATTTGTGAATCATGACCAAATGTTTCACATTCTGTTTCGTCATTTTCATCATCATCACTATCATCAAATAATTGATTTTGAATATTTTTACCAAAAAAATATTTTGATTTGTTTTCTGATAATTTTGATGATGATGATGATGATGACGATTGAGGACTATGTCTATTATCAGTTTGGTTCGATGGAACTTCTTCATATTTAATTGGTGTATGAATTTGAGATGAATTATGACTTTGTTGACTAAGATCTCCATCATTAACATTATATATAAGATTTATTCTACTTGAATATGGATAATTTTCTTTGATTGATGAATGTGGACTACTTTGATTAGATATATTATTTGAATGAATTGGATGATTATTAATAGATGTTGAATTTTTATCACTTCGATTACTATTTGATACATAAATAGGTTCATTTGTTCGTTTTTGAACATCAGAATTTCCAATAGTAGCTGTTAATATTAAATCTATTTGAGTATGTTTTGGTTCATAAGTATATAAATTTTTATTGGATTGATTTGGTCGTAATTCAATATTAGCTTGGGTTATTTGATATGGATTATTAATTGATTCTGTTTGATCTTGATCAATATTTTCTATAGATTGTGGATTTTGTTGTTGTATTTTAGATTCTCGATTTGAATCAATTTGCGGATATGATGATGATAATGGTGCCTGATTATTATATGAAGATATATCGGCTGAATTTTTTTCTGATCCATTTAATTGTTGAAATTGATTTCGATGATTATAGTGTGATGGTTTATCTCGTGGTAATGATCCTTGAATAGATGTGTCTGAATTTTGTAGAGTTATATATTTGTCATATGGTGATGATGTTTCTCTTTTCAATCCATTTGATTGTTGAACCTGATTTCGATGATCATACTGTGATGGTTTATCACGTGTTAACGAACCTTGAATATATTTATCTGAATTTTCTAGGTCTTTTCGTTGTTCATATCGTGATCTGTCTGGTTGTGAACGGTTTTTATTTTCATCATTAATTAATTGATTAATACGTGCTTGTTCAAGTTGATATTTTGTTGGTATAATAATTGTTTCACCATAACCAAGTGATTCATTATCGTTTGATTGTCGTTGATAATTAGTTGTAGTTATTGGAAAAGCATTTGATCTTGTTGAAGTGTTTGGTGAACGATATTGTGTTGGTGTTAGAATTTTATTTTGTCTTTTGTTAGAATTAGTAGGATCGAAGTCATCATAGTCAGTATTTGTTGTATGATCATAATAATCAGTATTTGATGTTTGTGCATATTGATCAGGTTTATATTTTCGTTCTTGATCATAGTTAGAATGTGATTCACCTATTCTACGTAGCATGTTTGGTAATGGAAAATAATGAGATAAATTTTTAATTGATTTTAATGATGATAAATATGAATAGTCGTTATCAATTTCGTATACTGCAGTAATGAATGCACGATTATCTTTTTTACTAAGAGTTATTTTTGGTGTTCGTTGAGAACGTATTGTGCTTTCTTTATCAGTTGTAGTTACGTTAAAAAGATGAATTGTTGACGAAAGGTAGAGTTGCTCGTCTGCTGCTGCTGTGTTTAGCTTAGATGAATAGGATAAGATAGGACCTGTAGAATAGAAGTAAAAAAAAGAAGAAAAAAACGTGGACAGAATGCGAAATAAACATTGACTTTTGAATAAAAAGAAAAAATAGAGATAAATAATCAGCAACGTGTATTTATTTTACTTTGCTACATATAAGCTTTACTTGAGACTCATTGAAAGAATTATTCGATTAAATAGTAACAAAAAAAAAACAAGGTAAATATATACATGTTGTATTTGTCTGTATATTTTCATTCGATGGTAGCAAAGAATGACAAAACGATACGAGACACCAAAAGAATTTATAAAGATGTATGATTAATTGATCATTATATATATATATGTGTAACAAAAAGAAAAAAAAAACGAAATAATCATAATAGCAACAGCAGCAGTAGCGAGCATTCTTTTATGAGATTATTTATGATCCATTGAAATCAAAATATACGAGAGAACGAGAAAGAAAACGATGATAACATTGTCAATCATCAGCAAACAATTACTTTATTATGAAAAAAAATTTATACAATTCACACGAATATATACAAGAAAATGTCAGCATTATCAAACTTACAACGTTTTTCTGTTTTTTATTGTATTTCGTTTTGTAAGAAAAGAATGAATAGGCGATAAAAAAACAAAAAATTAATATTGTCCGATAAGAAAACGTAATGATATTACTAATGGGAAAAAAAATATGCGTGAGCCGGCGATATTTTTTTTTTCTTTATGCGTATATGATAGTCTCAAAAGGGGGCGAGAGAGAGAGATATCTTATGCTTCTTTTGAGCAAATAAAGAAGAATGCAACTAGCAAAGATAATTTTAATCAGAATAAAATAATCGGATGAATATGCATTTATATCAAATAAAAAACTTACCAACAACAATTTCTTGCCAAGGTGTACGAATGTCGGGTGATGCAAGACTAACAACTCGAATTTTATATCGACCAGCTGAATAAAATAAAATTTAAAAAAAAAATACAAAGTGTTAAATTAATCTTGATCAATATTGAATCTGTAAATCTTTTATAGATGATATATTCTTTTCTAATAGTATTTTATTAATACTTTGTACAAAACAAAAGAAATGTTTTATTTTTCTTTACTTACGATATTTAAATGTATAATCAGGAAAGTCTACCAATGAACGACCTTGAGTTGGTTCAAGATCTCTCATAAGTGTAGTTGTTGCTTGAGGACTATTTTCAACTAAATAAATGATGTTCTTTATTTATCTTAGAGAATATTTAAATATATATATATATATGTACGTTTTTCTTCTAATTTAACACGATCGGTAACTCCTTCGTCACCAACAACACTGAATGTTTGTAATTTTTCACCGGCAATAACAGTTGTTTGTGGTGAATTAAACCATTCAAGAAAAGTCAATCGAGGTGCTTATAAATAGAGAAGAGAAAAGAAATATGTATTTAAAAACAACATTTATTTTTGTTCTATTACTTACATCTTAATGCTTCTGTTAAACGTATAAATTGAAAATGATCATTCACATGTAAATATTTATCCTAAAAAAAAACATAACAAAAAATAAAAATATAGAATTTATTTGTATAATGATAATTATTAATCGAATAGTTAATCTTAATATTATAACTTACATTGACATAACAAATTCATCAAAGTTTACATTGCAAGGATTTACTTGTCAAATGATTCTCATTCGAGCGTTTTCACATCCATTCAGAGAATACTAAAACTAGCTATTTTCTTTCATCATAAGAAACGTGTCAAGATGCTGAAAAATGCTACATTTGCATCTTGAAAATGTGTAAAAAAATTTTTTTTGTGATACTTTTGACATGTTTTATAGATAAAAATGACTGTTTGTTTTTCGTACATGTTCTATGTCAAATATATTGTGAGGAAACGTTTTTGGACATTTTCCAGATGCAAAATGTTGTCTGTGTTAAGCGTCTTCACGCACCTTTTATGATAAAAATAGCTAACTGTCGTGTCTTCTAAATCGACGTGAAAACGCCCCCAAACAAGAATTATGATTAGTGGGTTTAAACGTGTAGTCTTATGATTCGATTGCTTTTCTTTTCAAGACATTAGAAATAATCATTGTTAATGAAAACCTTAGGATATTCTCAAGTGAAAACGGCATTTTATCTTTTTAACAATTTTATCGAAATGGAGTTACATTTATATGATACTATTTAAATAATAAAATATCATTTCTTAAACTGTTTGGAATACGTATAAGCTTCCCAAAAAACATCAATCTTTGTCATAAGCATGAAAATTGAGATAACTACATGGAAAGATAGTCCAAGGTTTGATCTTTCATAAATGACATCATTTTTTATTTGGCATCTCACTTTTTTTTGACAGAGTATATCAAAATACAAAGCATGACAGAGTCCATTTTTTAAAATTAAGTGCCATTTTTCGAAACATGAACTTTTCCTTTCGTTAAAAAATAAAAATTTTAAAAAGATAGCTCTGTCATGCCTTATATCCTGACATACTCTTTCAAACACACAAAAAAAAATTAAGTATATAGAACGAAGGTCTACAGAGAATTTTGGGTTACCAAATGAGCTATTTTTGACACGTGTTCGTTGAATATCTCACGAAAGCATTATAACATAAGGCTGAAAATTTTATCTTAGCCTCTCCACTACAGCCTGAAAATTTCATGCAGTTTGAACATATCTGGTCCAAGATCGATTTTTGATAAAATCTACTTCCGTTAATGATCCTAATTCGATTGAGCTACGCTAGTCTTGAGTCGGAACTATGTGCATCATACAGACCCTAATGAATTATGAATACCATAAAAAGAGTTTGAGCTTTTAGTTTATTACTGCGGACACATTGTATTATTACGATATTTTTTCAAATTAATATCGTGATTTTCCTTAGAAAAAAACTTATTTTCGAATTTCCATTTGAAAGTTTGCATAGAGACATGTCATAATGGGATCAGTAGAAAGATTTTCCTCGTGAATTTAATAATTCTATTAAATGCATTCTAATACTTTGCAATACAACACAACGTATTTCAATAAAGATATTTTATTTTATTTTTGAAAAATTCATATTTACTTACAGATGAATTTAAAATTTCATCACGTTTTTCATCTAATGTTTCTTGATCATTAATACCCTATAATAAAAAGAAAAATTTGTGTTTTTATTTCTCTATTGATTTAATTTGTTACATTAGCTAAAAGTGTCTTAAGACTTTTTTCTAAGTTATATTGTTGAAGTAAATCAATTAAACACGTATCAACACCAAAAAGACCAATATATTTTATTTGAATATCCATACCACCATAATTATCCAAAATAACAACTCGAACATAACGAGTTTTTAATGGTGGAAAAAAGAAATCATTCTTATTTTCTTTCATAATAAAATAAACAAACAAACAAACAATTATTTATCTTTTATCGAAATAAAATCTTTTATTTTTTTTTCTTACGAGATAATATACAAGTAAAATCTATAATTTTAAGCCAAGGACCATTAAAAGCATTTGATACATCAAGACGACCACTTCTTGGTGTTGATCGATGTTCACTTAAAATAAACAAGAAGTAATTTTTGATTTTATTATTCTTTCGTTTTTTTTTACCATCCAATTATTCTCATTCCAGTTAGATTATATTCATGTTTTAAATCAAAAATAACCCATGCATTATTAGATTGTGTACAACACCAATATGTATCATTTGAAACTAGACAAATAAGAATTCTTTTTAAATTAAAATAAACAAAAAATAAAAAACATCAATTTACTGTCAAGTAAATTTTGTACAGATGAATCATCAGCTGTCGGACTTCGAAATTTATCACTGTCTAATGTCCAATTTGGACGACTACGAAGTAATGGATACATATGTGAAATGGCATTTCCTAAATACAACAAAAATAAAAGTATCAATTAATTATTTGAATTAGAAATCTAACAGAGATGTCTATCATAGCGCAGTCGCCATGACGCCAGGATTTTTTAAACAAATATCGTGGCACGAGAAAGATTTTAACAATACTACCGCGGTGTCGGTAGCTTTTGTGAAACAGGATCTTAAGGGAGTGTTGATGTATACAGGGTAGAAATTTAGATCTACACCATAGGCCGTGACAAGCACCTTGGCAATTCTTTCCTTGACGATGCGAATAACAGTTATATCATCTTTCACATTTCAATCCTATGGAAATTGCGCTAATAGCTGTCCTTTTATGGACATTACAGAATTACATTAATTTCACACGGAATTTCAGTGTTCATGAAAACTTATAGATTACTAACAACATTTCTAGTTCAGTATGATTACACCAATAAAATTCGAAACATCTTTTTTTTTTATAGTTCATTGTGATAAGGTTTCAGCAGCGATGGACACCTTTGAAATCTAATATGCATTCCAGGCTATAGTCACTAAGTATCTATTCTAGTGCTCTGCACCTGGGTCGAGTACTCGGCCTGAACCATGGGTTCAGGTTCTGACCATAAAAAAAATGTCGGATCGGGGTCTGAGTATGATCTGATACTCGGAACCCGACCCGGTAATTAATGAGATCTCGACATTTCAAAATATTTTTACTTTTTCGAACTGCTACTTTATATAAAAGCATAGAAATGCAAATTGATTCGATCATGATTGAGGAATTTATTGTTACAGAAGTGAAAAGCAATATCATTTTACTAAGCGATTTCTTTTTTAATGAAAACTCATTTACAGATGATGGATAAACTATATGATGAAGTAACTGAATATATGGAGAAGAAAACTAATTATGAAAAAGGTGAATATGTATTTATCGTAACGGAAAAAGTATCCATATATGCATCCTCAGTTACTCCGGTTGGCACTAACACTACGTTCTGTTCTATTCCAACATCAAGCAAAATTATAGTGAAATTGATCGGATATTAGACACAGAAAGACACCAAGTAAATCCTGATTCATTTGCTTTTTTTGTGAACTTTAAGATGATCTCGTTCATTTTTGTTGCTGCTTATGGAAGAAAGTGAATAGTATACTTTTTCATATAAAATAAAAGTTTGAAAGTATCAGCTAGATGTCGGTTTAACTGTGATCCAGTTATGCAAAGGCGTACCCTTACAGGACACAAATTCATACTCGATTATAAAAGATAAAAGCCCGATATGCATTAGTATTGGTTGTTTTTTTTTTTCATTATTTGAAAATCATTTTCTATACTCTTACCTGTTGTGAATGTGTAAAATTCAGGTGATGTTCTTTGTGGTGTACCTAAATTAATGGAAAATATACTAATCAGATTATATAATAGACTGTTCCCACGAAAGAAGAAAAAGATAGTGATAAATAATAAAGCAAATTTATTCTTTAAATATTTTTACACCCTCCATTGGATATGATCTCTATAGTTGAATTTGTATTTATTAGAGATATTAAATTTAAATTTTTTTCATTTCTAATTTCTTTCGATTCAAATGTTATAGATATAATAAATAATTGATCAATGAAATTTTATAAGGACACTTCAATAAAAATATCCTATTAAATCATTAAATATACTTACGAATAAGAGCATCAATAAAATTTTGTTGTTGATCTGGTTGTAAATGTTCAGCTATAGCAAAAGCTGTTTCACCTCGATTATTTGCTATATTTTGATCAGCACCATTTGCAACCAAAAGTCGAACTGTAGATAATCTTAATGAACGAACTCTGAAAGAGAAGAAAAAAAAAACATTGATTTTTTTGTTTTAAATTTGATAAAGATTTTTTTTTTGACATACGCCACATGAAGTGGTGTAACATTTGTTCGATCGGTTATATCTGGATCCATGCCATAATTAAGTAATACTTCCAAACAATTATCATGGCCTAAGAAAAATAAAAATATTTGAATATTAAAATAATGATAAAATTTACCAAGACGAGCAGCAATTATAGCTGCTCGATAAGCATGTCTGACTAACGTTCGATCATAAGAAAGTAAAATATCAACCATTCCTAATCGAGAAAAAAATTCAAATGATGAATTTCTTGTTTTTTTTTATGTTTTCTACCTGATTTATTAGCAATGACAGCTTCATCTAGTGGTATTCGTTGATTTCGATCTTCCATATGTGGATCAGCTCTATTCTAAATAGAAATTTCAATAATAATAATAATAATAATAATAATAATAGGTACAATTCTTTCTTTCTAATGAACTTAAATAAATCATTGAATTTAAATCTTAGTTATTACTGTTTTCTTTGATATCAATGGCTAACTCGTTTGAAATTCATTAAGATTTAATTTGATTCAAGTATTCGAATAATACGCGATGTAGAATGTTCTTAAGATTTTATTGAATATCATTGATTGAATACTTCATAGAGTTCATGTACAATAAATTTGCACAAAAAAAAATATTTTTTTTTAAATTCTCAAATAAATAGATAACACTATATGTATTGTCAATATCTTCATACAAATATATGAATATAGGATTTTGCTAATGAATGAGTTATCCTTTCTTTTGAACATTCGTAAAATCAAGATAAAAAATATCACCAATTTTTTGATTGTAATTCACTTCTGAAACCTTTGTCAGCTAAGACTAATGATCTATGGCAAACAAAAGAGAAAGGATGGATAAGCATATTAACTATAAGTTGGATGTGAATGCATGCTTACTTGAATGAGTTTGATAGAAAAAAAAACAAAGCATATTATTAGAGAAACCTTCCAAATGAACTATGAATACCCTAGAAGTATTTCGTGCCATTCACTGATTGCTGCTGAGATGCTGCACTATATAAGGTATCTTTTAAATAAATGTCGTAGTTCTCTCAAGAACACCAGTAAATCTTATTTTCGAAGTTCAACTTGAAATTTTGCATTCACGTCAAAATATAATGTGCTCCACTGTTTTTTTTTGAATACCTTTTGATAGGAAACATCATAGAGACCTGCGGTTTTCACCATTCAAGAGAAAAGATCCGAGACCATCGAAATTTGATTAGTCATCAATTGACTAATCAGATGAATTATTCATAGAGATTTTTGAAAATGATATTCTGAAGGTATTTTCCTTTCGATTTAGATTTTTAATAGGATTAGTCGATGGAAAAATTCTTTTTTCCCAATCTATGCAAGATTGACATATCAACTAGTTTCATTTGAGAGTTATAAGACTTCTCATGAAACCTTCGATTTCAGCCAATTGACTTGTGGTCACTCGAAAGAACAGTTAGGTAGAGATAATTTCCCCACGCTAAATCCATTGGTGATATTTATTTTTAGGTCCAAAATGATCTGACTCTGTTATCTCAATATGTCTGAAATTTCACAATCAGCTTTCATGTAATGAAGGAGTTGACATTTCAGAAATATTGAGATAACAGTGTCAACTTATTTTGAATCTAAAAATAAATCTCATCATTTGATTCAGCATAATAAATTATCTTTGTCTAGAAGTTTTTATGAGTGATAACAGGTCAATTGGCTGAAATCAGGGGTCCCAGCAAATGTCTTATAACTCTCAAACAACACGAGCCAGGAATGTCGACCTTGCATAGATCGAACGAGAACAATTTTTTTTATCACTTAGTCCTATTAACAGTCTAAATCGAAAGAAAAATATCTTCAGAATATCATCTTCGAAAATCTCTATCAAGATATTACCTGTTTAGTCACTTGTTGACTAATCAAATGTCAATAAACTTCGATGGTTTCGAGTCTTCTCTCTTGAGTGGTAAAAACCGCAAATCTCTATGATGTTCTTATTGAAAGTTATTCAAAAACAGTAGAACCCATTACATTTGAAATAGATAGTAAATTTGGAAAGGACACAAATTTCTGATATTAAACCAATATTTTATAGGTTCTGTTGATCATTTTAATTGTTCAAACCTATTGATTCATCTGTTTTATCAATTATGATAAATATAAGTTTTCATGATAAAATTTTCTTACTGAAAATTCATCGATCTTAACTTAAACATTATCCATATCGAAATAATTATTCGAATTAAATAAACTTACATCAAGTAATACTCGTATATGATAAGCATTTTCATCATTATATGACATAACAGCACGATGTAATGCTGTTTTACCCGATTGATTATATATATTTGGATTAGCCTGATATTGAAGAAGTAATTCGATAATAAGATATTTTTGACGATGAACAGCTAAATTTAATGCTGTATCACTACAAAACATTTTTCAAAAAACATATTTTATTTTAATATAGATAATTATTTTTGTTTACACACCCTGTTATGCATTGTCTATTTGGATCTGCACCATGAACAAGAAGAATTTTTACTTTTTCATATGAACCTATAGATTAAATTTTCAATAAATTATATTAAATAAAAAAAGAAAATCTATTTAACCTTTTCCTGTAGCAATCATCAATGGTGTAATATTATATTTTGTACCTGTCCAATTAATAAAATCAATTTGATCATCAATAACACCTCTATATTTAATAATATCGGCCAAACTTTGAAAAGGTCTTCCATGAAATTTTTGTAAAAACACCTTTCAAAACAATGCAAAAAACAAGAAGTCAATTTTTATCGAAACTTTATTTCTTGTATTCTGTCTATTGAAACTCTTAACTTACAAAAACTTGTTCAGCAGTACCTCGGTCTACGATGTTCAACAGCTGCTGACCATGCTGTTGATTCTCGTGCCGATGAGCCATATTTATTTATCTAGAATAAAAATAATACTTTGATTCACTATAAAATATTCTTCTATCGAAGAAAATGCATCTGAAATAAATGTACTGGATAAAATAAAATCATTTATATTTATTAAATCACTTGAAAAAAAAAAAACCTAAAGTTTAATCGTGTTCAACATTAACAGTATATTCATAATAAATCGATGAGAATAACATGACTAATTTTATCCTTGGTAATATAAATATGTGAGGAATCATAGTAATAGAAAAAAAAACGAAGACGATTAATCACTTGTTTGTTTTTTTCCTTGTATAGAAATCGATGTTTATATTATATACTCTAGAATACGTTCGTTTTTTTTTTTTCTATTTCAGGAAGAAAAGAAAAAGTTTTGTCTTTTCATAAATTCTATATAACAAAACAATATGTTTTTATTTCATAACATGCGGCTTTTTTCTGCGTTTTATATGTGTCTGCCGGTTGACTTTTTAGATCTATGAAGATCTCTTCACTTTAAAAGTATTCTTCTTCTTTTTTTTTTATATACGAACTAAAGTATAGATGTAAATAGTAATAATACTTAAAATATAATGATTTTATTTTAACCTGTTGGCCTAAAAAGTATAAATTCATTTATATCAATGAATATTAATCATTATTTACCAGAAGTACGACTGATAGATTACAAGAAGACTTATTAAAACATATCATAATGTGTTCAATGAGTCCTAATCAGAATTCAAAAATGTGCCTTATTTTAGAGGCCAAAAGAAATCGTCGACATTTGACGCATGCTATGAAAATTTTTCTTAACTACTGTTATATGTTCTTTCGATGACTTCTTATATAAAAGACGATATTTTTTTTTCTTATAAAACAAAGATTCTGTTTTACAGCTTGCAAGATACTTCGATCAAGTATCATAAAAAATTTAATATATCATTAATGACAGGTCAACAAAGATAAGAGAACTACGTTTTCTTTCTTCATTAAAAATACGTAAATCTTTTTGTTTTTCTAAAAAAAAAAAAGTTAATGAAAACCTTGTGTCGGAATTTTACCGAGATAAAAAAGAAAACAAATTTAAAATTTATTAATACTACCTTAATATTCATATAAGACCTAGAATAATTGAAATCTTTCATAGATTTTCTTCAATTAATCTCAATCAAATTAATATTATTTTATTTTCATTGATTAGCATAATGTTTCATTGAATCAATGTAATCATTAAATATTAACATGACAACATAGCTGAACACTTCTCTTTTTTAATTTTACATAATACCATCAAGAAAAAAAAAAGCATGAAATAAAAAAAAAATCAATAAGTGTAATTTTAATAATGATTACATTTAAGGTTTTTATCTGTACGATTAACATAATTGGTTTCTTTTTTGTATCACTATCGTATAAAATTGAACAAAATTAAAGTCATATATGTAAACAATTTATGTGTTATATTAAACATTGTTATAATAATAATATAAATAAACTGACCGTAGAGAATTTGTTTTAATGTCAAAAATGAACATTGACAATGATGAAAATTTGATATTCATTGTTTTTCTTTTTTTGACAGTACAATTATTCTTTTGTATTTGTTACATCTTGTCATGACAGACGAAGATTTTCAAGGTCACTTGGTTTCAACTACTCAGTTTTTTTTTCTCTCTCTCTGTTATTATAATATGTACAATTTGCGGTTTGGCTCTTATCAACTTTTTTTCCGCGCACTCGCGCTTCATATTGCTTAAAGCAGGAAAAAAAGTAAAGCCATGTTACCTTTCCTTCTGCATCTTTATTACCATCTTTTCTTTTTCCTTTTAACTGTCACTTTATTCTCTCTCTCTCTCTCTCTTATCACTACCAATGATGGCAATGAAAAGTAAAAAAAAAAAAAAAGAAAGAAAAAGAAACTCAAGTGAATTTCAAGTCCTCCGATTCGGTAACGAGTGATTTGACTGTGCGACTCACAGCAATTGAAACCAAGAAGAATGATAGAGTAACGATGCTGGATAAACATCAAACGAACATATTGCTTGATACAGAAAGGCAATATATGTATATATATCGCAGTAGTAAATAGAAGGAAGAAAGAAGTCCGACATAAACTCTTCAACTGTACAAGAAAATGAAAATGAAAGAAAAAGTTCACTTTTTTTTCTTTTTTTTTTCTCTTTGGTTTCAGTTTACAATGACACTCATTCAGTCACGAAGGTGACAATGACAATCTTTCTTTTCTATCAAAATTCGATAAAAGAAAAAGAAAAACTCGAATCAACATATCTCTCATAAAACTCTATTTAAGAATATATTTAATCCTTGTTTTATTCTACAAATCCATCATTCGCACTATTAAGCACATACAAAAACATATTTTAAACTTATTATTGATACAAACATATTATATAAAACATTTAGATTAATATTTGATATATATAAGAACAAACTTCTATTTCTACATGGATGCATTGAACTATGGAATATGCATAAAAAATTAATTATTATTCATTCGTTTTTGCATTTATTTACTTCATATGTGCTCTTTTTTTTCACTCAAGAAATTAGTGCAATATACAATATTCAGCAAAAAAAAAAACCCAACACTTGGTGCATAAATAATAACAATCTTATGTATTTAATCCATATTTAGCTTGAGTTTTAGCCAATTTTTCTTTTTCTTTATCTAAATTCATTTTGTCGAATGCTTTTGTTGCTTGATAATAAAGTACAACTAAATAACGATTACAAACATTGAAACCAGATAAATGATCGCATGCATTTTTGGCATCAAATATATCTTCATAAACAACAAATGCTGTACCTATTTATATTAAAACAAAAAGGAAAAACAACAATCATATAATTATTAGACAATGAAAAAAAAAATTCATTTCTTACCTCGTGTATCAGGTGTATTACCAACACGAATTTGTCGAATGGCTCCATATTTACCAAATATATCATACATTTCTTCAGCAGTTATTTTATATGGAAGATTTCGTACGTATAAAACTCGATTAATTTCTGGTGGTAAACGAAGATTAGCACGTTTTTGCATTGCCATTTTGTCAATTTAAATTAAAACAATATTAATCTAAAAAGAAAAACAAAAATTTCACATTTAATTTATCTATTACGAAAGAACGATATTGTTCTTAATGAGACTAAATACAAAGATAAGCAATAATATTACTAAAGTAATTAATAGTGTATAATCAAGACTTATTAAGTCTATTGTTTGCTTTTTGAAGATTTCCTTTCTGATCTATTTCGAAAATTGTTAACTATCAAAAATCGAAAATACATGTAAAAAAAAAATTCATAACTACATGACTATTCGAGTCTAGAATTTTCTTGAACTTCAATATTTTAAATAGTTTTCAAGAATCTCGTAAAGTTCATTGAGTATAATAATGTACTCTTGAAAGCGTTTTGATTGCCTAACTAATTTGATGATCAAGTTATATAAGCATATTCATACTTAAAGCAAGGAGATGTGTTTTCGAAATAAAAACCAATGTCAGCTGAAGGCTTTCTACAATCATAACCAAGGATTTTTTTTATTCGCTGATGATTAACATGAGTGCAATTGCCTTCGGCAAAGAAAAATCTAGAACTCATTAAAATCATCTTTTATCTCAACTCTAACTAATCTAAAACATTATTTTCTATCTATGAAATAAATTTCTAGTTAAATGCTATTGAATTTCGAAAGATCATAAATATATGATAATGGAATACTTTTATTGACCAATGAAAAACATTTTTATTCTCTAATCAATTCATCCGACATCTATCTTAAACTTTTTTTTGTAATTACTCAATTATTTCTTTTCTAAACCAGACAAAATAAAGAAAAAAAAGAAAAATTCTTAAGTCATATTTTTTTTGTATTAATATTTTTTCTGATTTGTTGTTTTATTCACCAATTCAAATTGTACAGAACAAGAAAGAAAAACAAAATGGCGAATAATATATTAAAAAAAAATATATAATATATGTATTCCGAAATATTGATCATAAAAATAAAACGAGAAATATGATTATTTTTTCTTTAAATCATTCTACCGAATGACGTTCTTATTTATTAAATCTATTTTTTCTATTTCAACCGGTCCATTCAATAATAATATTAATGGCTCGAACAGAAACATCAAATTTTAGCCATTCAGCACCAATAAACAATTTAACTTCATCAGTTACATCACGTTCATATAATAATCAAACAAATATAACAAAAGATCAAATACAACGTAGTGATATTGTTAAAACAGAATTTACAGCACGTGAAGGTACATATAAAATTTCTTCAATTATTGATAACCTTGGAAAATTTGGTACAAATACATGTTTAAATGAACCGGTTAAAATAACATTAATGACTCGAATGCAAACAATTGTTGATTCGAATAGTCAAACTAGTTCAAGATGTTCATCAACATTAAATAATAATAATAATAATAATTCAATAACATCTAATCTAGATAATCAATCAAATGAAAATTCGATTGAAACAAAATCTTCATCAACATTAAATGGAATTGATATAAATCAACAAAATGAAAATGTAATTGTAACAGAAATATTAGCATTTAATGTTGGAAGAGAATTAATTATTTATGAATTTGCTGAAGCAACACAGGTTTGTTTTGATTTTTTTTTTTTTGAAGACGAATTTTGATTATTAAAAGTCTACTACTCTTTAACATATGATTATGCTTTTAAACTTTAAATATTCGTTTTAATTATCATGAAATTAAATATTAGGTTTTCTGCTTGATATTACAATTTGCATAAAATCGAGCTTTTTGATTTCAATTAATGTTACTAAAAATCTATCTAGGAGCTAAACAAGAACATCGGGTGTGGTAGGGAAAGGATCCTACAATGTTAGAAGTACTTGATGCTATATAGGGTCAACGGTGACAAATAGTACGTTTTTTTGTTTCTTTTGATGATAGAGCAATGCGTACGACCTTGATTACACCACTAGATGTATTTATTACCTTCT